CCTGTCAGATATTTAAAAGTATTTTACCTGCAAGCAGGTAAAATGTGCAAATTTGCCATTTGTCTAAAATTTAGCTGGTTTGTTACCTTTGCAAGACTTTGCAAGTTTGTTACCTGTAAAATATCTAGTAAGTCTATTTCCTGTAAAAAAAAGAAGAAGCTAATTTGTTACTTGTCAAATTTTTGGCAAGTTTGTTACCTTTTACAGATTGAAAAAGTCTATTACCTGTCAAAATTTTATCACTTGTTACTTGTCAAAGAATTAGCACTTTGTTAACAGTCAAAGATTGCAGAAATCTATTTCCTGTTAAAGTATTAGTATGTCAGGTACCTGTCAAAGACTTACTATACTTATTACTTGTCAAAGAATTAGGAAGCTTTTTACCTGCCACAGATTTGGCAAGTTTGTTACTTGTCAAAGATTTGTACAAGATAAATGGCTGTCCTTCTGGTTTTACATATATGGAAGACTTAATGTGCTGTGGATGGCATAAGACAATCTAATCTACAAGGTTTGCAAAGATCTGTAAATTCCAAACACCAATGTCAAGTTGAATCCACCTTAATTTTTTCCACCAACAAAAACAAGCAATCAAGCAAAAAATAAAATAAAAGTTTAAGAATATATAAAAATATAAAATAAAATAAATAGAAATGTATCTTAAAAAATGACATACAAATCAGTTAACCCATTCGCCACACGTGGCAAGAATAGATGCCATACCCACTTTGATACATGTTTATTTAATGTATTTACACATAGATGGCTCTACAAGTTCTTAACCTATTGCCGCCGGGGATGGCATTTACGTACATGCCATGCCCACTCTGAGTCGCCTTGTTCGATTGTTTTTACATATAGATGGCTACACTTGTACTAAGTATCCAATGAGCCAATTCGAGTATTGCCTGTCTAGCCTGTTCACCCTTTTCATCGATTTACGAAAATATTTAACGTTATCCTAATTTGCTGTTAAAAATAACACCATCTATATTTATAGCACTAGTAAGAATACATTTTTTCCCGCCAATTTAAGGAAAGGTGAAATCAGGACTAGCAGAGCCATCTATGGACAGAGATATTCCACAAAAATATAAAAAATGAGTACAGTATTTTCCCCATTTTTTGTTCATTTTCCCCGGCGGCAATGGGTTAATCACCAAATAGCCAGTTATCAAGAACTACCTATTTCACCTGTTTACCCTTTTCCTTCACTTTAGGAAAAGGTTTTTTGTATCATTTCATTGTCAAAAATATTCTAATGACAATTCAATAATCATAACATCAATAACAATAATAACAGCATCGAAAGCAATGATATTAATTTTCCCGCCAATTCAATGAATGGGAAAATCAGGGTCGGTAACTAGGGCCTACTAATAGACTCGTTGCCAGCTGAACACATGTGGAGCCATCTGTATGTAACTAAATTCACCAAAAACAACAGGGGCCAGAACATAAATCCGTGGTGAATGGGTTAAGAAATAAAAACACCTTTTAGGCAGTAGAAACTGTGAGGGAAGTTTAACCTACCTGCTACTTCCAGGACTTTGTCAGCAAAGTTGTAAAGTGCCCAGAAGTTAGGTGCCCAATATGCATGACTCAGACCTCTTTTAAAGGGGAAGAGCCTAGAAAGTACCTGGAAGTAGTGGCATGGAATTAGCATGAAGCATTACCTTGTACAAACTAATGCTGTAATCTTTTACATAGTAAATGATAAAATGTAGTCTAAAGAATATATAAATTCAACAGCAAAATTCCAATGATGGTCAGTTGGGTGCATTTGAAGTTCTGATGTTCAATGGCTCAAGTGAATAATGCCTCTTAAAAATGGGTGGGTTGTTGTTGTTCCTCTCTCACTCACTCACTCACTCACTCACTCACTCTCTCTCTCTCTCATAAACCTACATAGTTTCTATTTTCTAAGCCCCAATGCATGTGTCATTTCTACAGTCATATGCCCACCTGGCCAAGTTGCCCTTTCAGGTAAAAGGGCCCAAACGACAGCCCAAAGACAGCCAAGACCGTGACTCCTAATTGAAGAAGACGGAGCAGAGAGGACAATTTCAACTTAATCCGGCCGTCTGAAGTGGATGAGAGGCAGTAGGAGCGGAGCAGGTAAATGAAGTAGGCTGGGGCAACATACAGGTAGATGTGCTTCAAGTTGAGCAAAATGGAAAACCAAAAGGCAGCTTCCATTTCACGCCTCTGGAATGGAGCAGAGATGAATAATGTAATGAGTAATGAGAGAGAATTCATTGCTTGTGTAAGCAAATCAAATCTAGGGCTTGAAATATTTATCAGCTTCTTTTACTGTGAAGAAGTCACAGTAATTGTAATAATTTTTTACAATATAATTCCAAGGTACAAAATCCTTCCGTACAATTTATCCTCAGTTTACACAACCTCACCTGCAGGATTCTTGCAATAGACAGGAACATGATGCCATAGAGAAAGCCATTGTACTGAAAGTGAATGTGATCCACAATCAAGAGTCCGGCATTGCTAAACAGAATAATGAAGAGAGGGACAATCACATCCCTGCGGCCAGAGAATCTTCCAGCCTCATCACTGCAACTGTAGGCAAAGTTTGGAAAAAGATATATATAGCATACGGAGAAAGTAAATGATCTAATAAAAATAATAATATTAATAATGAGAGTATTGGTAAGGAATAAGTAAAATATTATTTGCAAATAGCACATCAAATAAACCTCCAGCTTTCAACAAATATAACAGTGAACTATGTATATACACACACACACACACACACACGCACACAAATATATATGTATATATGCATATATGTGTGTGTGTGTGTGTGTGTGTGTGTATATATATATATATATATATATACATATATATATATATATATATATATATATATATATATATATATATATATATATATATATATATATATATATTTAAAGAGAGAGAGAGAGAGAGAGAGAGAGAGAGAGAGAGAGAGAGAGAGAGAGAGAGAGAGAGAGAGAGAGAGAGAGAGAGAGAGAGAGAGAGAATTATGCATATATTAACTCATTGCTGCTGGGGATGGCATGTACGTACATGCCATGCCCACTATGAGTCAACTTGTTCGATTGTTTTTACACATAGATGGCTACACTTGTACTAAGTATCCAATGAGCCAATTTGAGTACTGCCTGTCTCGCCCGTTCACCCTTTTCATCGATTTACGAAAATATTTAACGTTATCCTAATTTGCTGTTAAAAATAACACCATCTATATTTATAGCACTAGTAAGAATACATTGTTTCCTGCCAATTAAAGGAAAGGTGAAATCAGGACTAGCAGAGCCATCTATGGACAGACATATTTCAGAAAAACATGTATGTATTTCCCCCATTTTTTGTTCATTTTCCCTGGCGGTAATGGGTTAATTCATATCTATTTTTATATATATATATATATATATATATATATATATATATATATATATATATATATATAGATATCTATATCCATCTATGTATTATATATATACACGCACAGACACAGACACACACACACAAATATATTACAAAAATAAAAATGCTTACAGTTTACAGCCATAAGCATACACAAGGTCAGTTACAATCACTGACAGACGCTGGAAGAGCACTGTCATTGGTGAGGCATAGTTCAAGTTCTCCACTTTCAGCATTTCTTGGTCAAAGAACTGTGCTACCTGGGGGAAAAAAAAAATATATATATATATAAATATACTTTAGTTCAAATACATACATACATAAATACATTATATAAATATACACACACACACACACACACACACACACACACACACACACACACACATATATATATATATATATATATATATATATATATATATATATATAGAGAGAGAGAGAGAGAGAGAGAGAGAGAGAGAGAGAGAGAGAGAGAGTGAGAAGAGAGAGAGAGAGAGAGAGAGAGAGAGAGAGAGAGAGAGAGAGAGAGAGAGAGAGAGAGAGAGAAAGAGAGAGAGAAAGAAGAGAGAGAGAGAGAGAGAGAGAGAGAGAGAGAGAGAGAGAGAGAGAGAGAGAGAGAGAGAGAGAGAGAGAGAGAGAGAGAGAGAGAGAGAGAGAGAAATAGGTAAATATGTAATCTATTAGTAAAGACAATACCATTAGTAAAATATATAAAGTATAAAATCTGAAGAGTAAGTATCAATATGTTTATAGAGCATGAGATTGTACTTGTTACTCTTGCAATATCTAGGCCTATATGGAATGAAAGAATGATTTAACAAAGAAAATAAAAAAAAGTCTGTAAGCACATACAAAGTTTTATCGAAAAAAAAAAAAAAAATACAAACTTACTATAATCTCTCTGCTAAGTAACATACAACAAAGAAATACCCATAAAAAATAATCAACAATAACAAACCAATAATAGGAACATCTTACCTTTGCCAATAACCATTCAAACCAAGCAAATAATGGAGGATAGTCTAGTGTCCATTCTGATGTTTCTTCAAAATACCATTCGTCAATTGGAAGACTGTGTGTGATTGCCAACCAGTTCCGGTGAACTTCAAAGTCTGTTGACCGGCTGTTAGATAAAGTGATCACATATCAATAGAACTATAGGAAAAATTCAGTCAAAAATATAATTTAAGGCAAATATTTGGGATGAACAAAAGTCATAGGCCCACTTTATAGACAATTCTGAAAGTGATTATCAAATAACTAGATAAATAAGATTCACTTACTATGCTGGGATAAGTAGTAGTTTGATACATGATATGCCTACAACCACAGCCCAAAACATTTTGTGAGAATGAGCAACCTTGAGATAGGATATTCAAATTAGGATATTCTGCAGGTGACTGGAAAAAAAAACAAATAAAGAAATTAATAATTTAACTTCATATTATGTAGAATCTATCTGCTGTACACATACAACTAATTACAGCTCTACACATATCATATATAACTGACTGACATTTCAGAACATTTAAAAGAAAGGAATAACTTCATACAAAACAAATTAATGGTTGTTTTCCACTAAAACATAATTCTTTAGTTAATTCAGCAAATTAGTTTTAGAACTGCTACATATGCTGCTAGTCTCATATATCAATAAAAGCAAGAACTGTTACATGCACTCTTCATTTTAATAAATTGGCATAGCACAATGGTAGAACACTGGCTTTGCACTACTGCACAAATTGGTAATTTACTTGATTCTAGATTCCAAAACATTTCTTTCTTCTTTCTTTGTCTTATGTATTATAAGATAATATATATATTTAGTGTCAGCCTGCCATCGTTGATACACTGTTGCATAAGAAGTACAGGTCAGTGAAGGAAGTTCTTATCCATATTTCCTTAGTAAAGATGTAGATGAAATCTTAGCTGATTTATGTCCCTCTGGAATGAACTGTCTTTTTAGATGGAAACATAAGCATGCTATTTTTTAGTATTATCCAAAATCTGCACAATTTTTTAAATTACAGGTTTTATGTTCATTAACATCATGGACATCTGTAAACCTTCATATGAACTTCAAAATGGAAATGCAATATCAAAATTGTGTCTTTGTTTTGGTGGCAACATAATTCTTATAATTTCTATTGATGGAATTCTGCAACTCATGACCATGTGGGCTTTAAAAAGTACCAAACAATAAAAAAGTACACCACCTGCTGTCTACTTTAGAAACTATTGTGTAAAATATAAACAGAAAAATGGCTTCAACTCATCCAAATTTCTATTGTTCTGAAAATCCAATATATTTTATTATAACATTCTATAATGCAAAAAAAAAACTTAGTGAAGAATACACTACCCCTCCCCCCAAAAAAAAGAATAGCCCCCCCCAAAAAAAAACAAAAACAACCACAATAAAAACTAAGTAAGGAACCCAATAATAATGGCATCGGTTCTCTTCCCAGGAGCTAACATTTGACGGACAGACCAAGATCTCCCAAAATATTAAATTACCCTTCAAGCCCGTGTAGTACAGTAGTGTGTATCAAGTTAAAGGTTAATGTGTGAAGTTGTTACAAATCTGAACAGCCACTGTCTGTCATTCATGCAACTACTAGAGATGCACGGAATCCATCCAGCAGGAACTGTAAAGTCAATCACTGCGGCGTTCTCTTATAAATGACCACACAGATGGGTAAAAGAAATCCCACCATATATCGTATGACATAGTAACTCTCGGTTTTAATGCTGCGCTCCCAGAGAACAAATACCCGATCCTGCCGCCCCTGCATCCCAGCATCTTCAGTGAAATGCAAATGACACGGAGAGGGAGAGGTGCAAATGGAGAGAGGAAAGAAAGAGGAAAGAGGAAAGAGAGAAGGGAACAATAACAAACGACACAGGTGGTTCGGCAGCTCCAAGGCTCTCATACTCCGCCGTTTGTGGTGGTTTCGCCCTTTCCATAATGATTCGCGTATTCACACCCATGTCGCAATTTCCTCAAAAAAACACGATGGCTTCGTTTTCAAGTGGGGTCATTTGTTTTACCTTTAAATAATCGGAAATTTAGTGTTTTGTTTACGTTTTCCTCGCACGGCGCTGCTTGCTTGTTCCGGCCAGGCTTACCGTGACACATCTCCCACACGTTTTTACTTCCACCACACACGCCGAGGCAAATACGAAGAATCCGACGACGCAGATGATAAAAATACCACTCAACCTTTAATACCCCATCGGTATTCGTGAGCCAAAGTGTTAAAATGAGGTTGACATCCCTGCCAGCGAGTCAGACTGGGGTTGGCAGCCCTGCCTGGATGTCAGAGCGAACTGTCGTGAGGTTGGCAGCCCTGGTGACGTCATTATGGCCTATCACCTGTTTGTTCTGGGAGCGATGTGAAGGGCCGTTCACCTGTTCACCACCTTCCCCTGTTCACCATGGGCGTCGGCCGGCCGGGAGCGGGCATCACGAGCCCCGTGAAAATCGTGGCCAATATTTTCATCTCTTTTATTGGTGCTGGGATGCTGGGACTGCCCTTTGCGTTCAAGGAGGTGACGTGTGGTGACTTCTTTTCCCTTTTTTATGTGTGTCATGCGTGTGGTGATGTGGTGAAGTTTTCGTGTATGTAAGATGAAAGCGCGTAGTTGATAAATTGCGAAAGAATTGATTGTAACATAATGGTGATGAACTAAGGGTCTTTTATTGTACGAGAAGCGATGAGCAGAGCATCATGTCACCACACTAAAGCGACGGAATTTGAGGTGCTGGTTTAGGCTGTGACTGATTAGATTATGAATTCTAAGATTACAGTTTATTGCAGGTGGAATTCAGGAATGATTTTACGGGAGGAGGTCATAGATTAAATGCTTCCTTAAAGTACACATGAAATATATATTTAATAATGTGAATATCTTGTCCACAAATTTTTCTATGATAGTGTAAAGGAGAATTATCACTTCGTAAGACTTAAGGATAGCGGTTAATGTTATTGAGAACAAGGCACAGAGATAGAGAGAAATGAACATTGCCATCTTATAGAGAATAAGAAATAGAGTCATAAACAACAC